AAAACAAGAAATGGGAAAACGACTCCATATTAAATAAATGGTGCTGGGATAACTGACTAGCCATATGCAGAAGAATGAAGCTGAACCCCTTCCTTACGCCATATAATAAATAACCTCAAGGTAGGTTAAAGACTTTAATGAAAAACCCAAAACCATAAAAACCCTGGAAGACGCCTAAGCAATACCCTCCTAAACCTAGGAACGGGTTTAGATTTCATGACAAAGACACCAAAAGCAATTACAACAAAAGCAAAAATTGACAAATGGGATCTAATTAAACTTAAGTGCTTCTGCGCAGCAAAATAAACTATCAACTGAGTAAACAGACAACCTACAGAATGAAAGAAAATATTTGCAAACTATGCATCTGACAAAGGTCTAATATCCAGCATCTGTAAGGAACTTAAACAAATTTACAAGAGAAAAACAAACTACCCATTAATAAGTGGGAAAAGGAAATGAACAGACACTTCTCAAAAGGAGGCATACATGTGGCCAGCAAGTGTATGAAGAAAAGCTTAACACCAATGATCATTAGAGAAATGCAAATCAAAACCACAATGAGATTATCATCTCATACCAGTCAGAATGGCTGTTATTAAAAAGTTAAAAAATAACAGATGCTAGTGAAGTTGCAGAGAAAAGTGATCCCTAATATACTGTTGGAAATATAAATAAGTTCAACCATTGTGGAAAGCAGTATGGTAATTCATCCAAGAGCTAAAAGCAGAACTACCTTTTGACCTAGCAATTCTATTACTGGGTATATACCCAGAGGAGTATAAATCATTCTACTGTAAAGACATGTGCCTGAGAATCTTCATTGCAGCACTGTTCACAATAGCAAAGACCTGGAATCAACTTAAATGCCCATCAATGACAGACTAGATAAAGAAAATATGGTACATATATACCATGAAATATTATGTAGCTATAAAAAGGAATGAGATCATGTCTTTTATGTAACTTAGATGGAGCTGGAAGCTATTACCCTCAGCAAACTAGTGCATGAATAGAAAACCATATACCACATGTTCTTACTTATATGTGGGAGCTGAATGATAAGAACTTATGAATAAAAAGAAAAAACAACAGACACTGGGGTCTACATGAGGAAGTAGGGTGGGAAGAGGGAGAGGAACAGAAAAGATAACTATTGAGTACTGAGCTTAACCTGGGCGATGCAATAATATGTACAAACACCTGTGGCACATGTTTATCTATGTAACAAACCTCCACATGTGCCCCCCAACCTAAAATAAAAAAATTAAAATAAAAAATTATACATTTAGAAAAAAAATTTCATTCTAAGTGCCACTTCTACAATAACAGGTAAGGCATAATATATTACTGCTTCCATATACACTTGCATCTTTAATAGGACAGTAAAACACCTTAAGCCCAATGGCATAAATCTCTAATTGTAGATTTCATACATTAGTGGATATAGGTATTAGGTGAGGTAAGGGTCATGTCAATAATTCTGAATAACAGTGGAGATTTCTGATTGTCGATAAATTATCATGGGGCTTCAGCAACTTTATCTCCTCTCACTCAATTTCTTATTTCATTGGTGTCCTTGCTAGTCCAAAATGCCACTCATGTTTACACAACAATGTATTTGACCTTACTCTTTCTTCTGCTTAGAGTGTTCCTCCCTGTATCATTTATAGCCTGCCTCTTCACATCATTCAACTCTGCTGAAATTTCTCCTTTTCTCAAGCCTTTCCTTGAATGACTCTATCAAAACTGTAACTTCCTATCCTTTTATTTTTATTTATAGTACTCATTGCTACCTAAGATCATTTTAGGTTTGTATTTGTTTATTTATTTCTCCAATTAAAATGTAATTTCCATAAGTTTGTCATTTTTTTTTGTCATTTGAAGTGGCATATAATAATATTTGTTCAATGAATGAATGCATATTAGATGAAATGAATGCTTTTAGGACAAAATTCAAATTCTAATGACTTGTTAAGTCCTGACTTGCTTCTGGGTTTAAATGGAGAAGGACCTTAGAAGTCAATGGATCAGTTATAGAATGCAAAAAATGGTTTGTTTATTGCCAACTGTGTCTCGATGTTATAACTTCATAACTTGGAAGGATATATTATAGATAAGAGGCTGTGGTTCACTAGTGTTTCCTGTCTGTCATACTGCCCTTTTGCTTCTCTAAATATATTCTGGGTATTTTCTTGATGCTAAGTCTTGGTGCTAAGTTTGGGGCTGCAAAGATTGAAAAGGCAGAGTTCTATCCTAGTCTGGCCTTTGCTTACCCAGAGATTATGTCCTTGTTGATGATTTTTTTGCCTATACCTCTCACTTAATACATATAATTTATCATCTTTACTGATCATATATTTTCCATATCAAATATTTTAATGTTCCAGTTTCCTCATACTAAAAGCAAATGAGCAAATAAGAATTTTATTTTATACCTTCTTCTTAAACAATTGTCCACAGTACCATAAAGAATAATATTCACTGGTTGCTATTAAGGATAATGAAATATAAAAAAAATCATATTCTAACACATTCATTAAATTTATGAATCTCTTTATTACTACAAGGCATATTCTTTTCCCCTCTTTCAATTCCCTAAAAATAGGATTTAAGATTAATAGTAAGAAATAAATGCTACTTATTTTCATATAATGTAATCAGATAGTATGTATCATAGATCAAAAAAGCTTTATCTGTTTTCTAGACTTGGAAAGCCACTTCAGTCAATGGGGATCTTAGAACCTACAGCTTTCAAGTTTTCACTAGCTTCTTGACACTAGTAGAGACCTAATGATACACAACTCTTGGAGAAGAGTTAATTAAGCTTGTGGTTTTTTTCAAAGCACTATGAAACACAGGTGCCAACATTTGGTATTCAGAGGTAGAACAGGAGTAGATGTGTGGTAAACTAACAACATATGGGGAAAAAAAGGAAGGTTTTGAGGATAAATGGCTGAACTTTAAGAACACTTTAGTTTTAAAATAGATTTACAAAATGGATTTTTAAAATGTCATAAGTTGGGCCTTTTGGGAGGGTCATAAAACACGGATGACTTCATTTTCCTTTCTTCATTGCTTTAGACTCAACCCACTCTAAGGTGGCACACGGTAATATTGATGTTTTCGCATTAGCCCATAATTATAGACAGTAAAACATTCAGGCCAGGTCTCTGCTTAGTTCCAACACTGGACCAAATATTGTGGGATGACACAGAGGCATTCCTACATTAGGTAACTCATCCATATTCATCAGGGAAGAATGTTCAGGCTAGCTGCTCTGCTTTTCTGCTGTTTTGTTTGCATATATCTTGCAGACAATAAAGGAGGGTATCAGTGATAAAATCAAGCTATGAGGTTTGGAAAACCTTGGATTTAGTGTTGCTTTCACATTGTGTGTGTTCTTAAAATTTCTAATAATTAATTAAATTATGTGAAAGAAAATATCAGAGAAGCGGTATATGAATAAACTATTTTATTAATTTTAGTAATTATCTTTAAAATTAAAATAGGGTATTATAATGCTATTTTTATGGTTTTATGGGAGACTGCCTATGAATAAAGACTCAAGCAAAAGAAATACAAATTCAAATCCTAAAAACATTGAAAAAATTCTAAACTCTTGAAGTATAAGATGAGAAGAACTCTAGACTAGGGGTCCTGACCAGTTAACTAGAATTTAATGCCTCTTTTAGGAGTCTACTCACCCATTCTGCAAAGAATTTCTAGTATCCCCGAAACCCTAACAACTAGTGATATCAACATTTACACTCTCTCCAAACTCAGAAAAATAGAAAGTAGCAACTTTTCACAAAATGATGAAAATAAATCATTTGAAATTGTGGGCTCTCAAACTATGCTGGCTGTCAGAAACCTAAGATTTTATAAATTACTTAAATGAGTCTGTAAATGTATGATTTAAATTTCATTTCAAATACTGGAATTGAAAATATGAACATAAAAATTTACTGCTGATTGAGTATCCTTAATCCAAAAATCTAAAATCTGAAATTCTCCAAAATCTGACATTTTTTGAGCAACAACATTAGGCTCAAAGGAAATACTCATTAGAGTCTTTTGGATTAGGTATTCTGAACTTGTATGTATACCTATAATGGAAATATTCCAAAATCCTAAAAAATATGAAATCTGAAATATTGTCATAAGCATTTTGGAGTCATGACACTTAACCTGTATATGCCAATTTCAGCATATAAGAAACCACTAACATGTTAACCCTCATTTATAGATTTATAGTTAGTAAATGCTATAAATTTGAACTTATGAAGAAAATTGGTTATAATAAAATTCATTTATATTTTATATATTGAGTTTCTAAGAAAGATTTTAAGAGTTGCTCTGTTTTTAAACAAAGTGAAAACTATCTACATTCTAGACAATACAGAATCAAAGAATCTGAAGAGAATGAAAATAAAAGAGGAGACAGAACAGTTACTATTTTGTAACTCTTCATACTCTAATGCCAATCAAACCCACTGGATATTATAGTACGTTCAATAGTAAAATCTTAGTAAAAAATACTTTGCAGTTAGCGAAAATACATCTTCTATGTAAGCCAGTGTTTTGAAAATTATAATGAACACAAGGTCAATGTTGAGATGTGGCAAACTTTTTCTTTAGGCTATGAGGTAGATTGGGTGTATACTTATTCTTCATCTTTGCCACAATTCCTATCTATAGAATGAAGGATTCAAATGCCTTCAAGAATATGCACCAGAGAAACACAAAAACCAAGAAAATATCCCAATATTCTGGTGTTGTTTGGAAAACATCTTAAGGTCTCTCATATGTAATGTTATCTTATAAAACCTTATGCAAGACTATTCTGGGATCCAGTTTGAGAGTAATTTAACTACTAGAATTCAGAAGAATCCATGAAATGTTCTTTTGCATTTTTTTAACCACACACCATTTAAATGAAAGGATGCAATATAAATAAGCAATAACCCACCCTTTAAAACAGCATATGTAAAGGATACTCTTCACTATTCCGGATGTCAACCACCAGGAGCTTTGGTTTACTGGACTTTGTTTTCTTGGTAGGTGTTTTGAAGTGGCCTGTCACTGTGAGCTCACACAAGTCAATCAGGTCCTCTGCTGAAATCCGTGGTGATACTTCTGATTTTAGGTCATTTAATGGGATGGATTCTCTTGACTGAAAAAAAAAATGTACAAACAACAAAAGTATTGAGAATATTACAGAAAAACAAAATTATCCCCAGTAATAGAATATCTTGATACCAAACAATACAGCATATTAGAGAAGAGGAACCCATCTGATTTTCGCAGTCTATTGTGTAATTCAGTGGTCTCCAACCCCCAGGCCATGGACTGGTACTGGTCCATGGCCTGTTAGGCACTGGGCCACACAGCAGGAAGTGAGTGGCAAGTGAGTCAGCAAAGCTTCATCTGTATTTATAACTACTCCCCATTGCTGTTTTACCACCTGAGCTCCGCCTCCTGTCAGATCAGTGGTGGAATTAGATTCTCATAGGAGTACAAACCCTATTGCGAACTCCATATGTGAGGGACCTAGGTTGCATGCTCTTTATGAGAATCTAATGCCTGATGATCTGTCACTGTCTCTCATCACCCCCAGATAGGACCATTTAGCTGCAGGAAAACAAGCTCAGGGGTCCCACTGTTTCTAACTTGAGTGGTATAATTATTTCATTTTACATCACAATGCAGTAATAATATAAATAAAGTGCACAGTAAATGTAATGTGCTTGAATCATCCCGAAACAATCCTTCCACCCCAAACCCCAGTCCATGGAAACACTGTCTTCCAGAAAACCAGTATCTGGCACCAAAAAGGATGGGGACTGCTCGTGTAACTGATTTCTTACTATTGAGGTTTACTTCTTTATTAGTTACACCTATAAAAAAGCATTATTTATTTGATTCACTGCAAGCTCCTGGCTCAAACATGTAGTAAGAGATGAGGCAAAGTTTTCCTTATGAGAGTGTTGTGTATTTAAAGAAAAAAATAGCTCCTTTAAGTACAATTTCACTTTTCTTTAAGTATAATTACTGTTGCTGTGAATTGCATTAATTTCAACTCAGGTAACATGAGAAATTGCACTGTAATTAGGCATACATAGCAATTAAAGAAACTGGTTCTAATATATGTATTGAATTTTCATAATATAATTTATGTTATATATAAATGGGTAAGTGAAAACTTGATTCTTGGAGATGAATAAAGAACAACTTAATGCTTTATTAAATAGTAAACCAAATTAACAATGTGTCTTAACTATGAAGGAGGTAAGCTCAGACTCCAGGCTATCAAACCCACTCATTGGTCTGTGTCTGTGATAAGAATGACTCAGACTAAGGACGATTTACAATCATTCTCTATGTTTCTTAGTAGAAAAAAGGATGAGCCTTCCCCCATAACAGGTAATGTAATACCACACAACTAAATTCAACATAAATTTATTGAACACTAGTGATTTCTTGAAACTTATGCGGCATAACTTGAGAATTTAAACATTATAAAAATTCAAGTGATTAAAATATGAGGATTCAAAAAATTTCATTTATATGTTTCATAAGTTATCAAAATACTCTAATAATTATCTCGTTTACTCATTTTCTCTCTTTCCTCAGTTGCATTGTGGAATTCTACACTTAGAATGTCCAATTTAGAATTTCTAAGTAGAAAAAAAAAATAAACCATATGAATCATTTACCAGACAGACTTATTTTTTTAAAAAAGGTCTTCAATTGGAGTTTGATGTCAGCTCTCATCCCTTGGGTTTCCCCAGCTGTGATCTGAATTCTCCAGTGGTACAGCACTTGTTCTTTCACGTTATTAACTTTTAAATAAAAATGGAAATTGCTGAGCTTTATGAGTTTATGGCTTTTAATAAAAAATAGGCATTAAGAATCTTAACTTTTTAATATTAAGTATTAAAGCTATCTAAACATTCTGAAATTAAAAATAGCTCAGAAAGATTAAAGAGTTTTGAAAGGAGCAAGCCATACAATCAATGCTTCCATCTCCTTTTTCATTAGATTGCAATCTCTACAGGTAGTTTTTCCAGCCTTCACATGAAGTCATACATTTATGAAGATGAAATGAAGAACTTTTTGATTAGCCTAGTTCCACTTTTAGTCATTTTGTGATGAATGTGGCATTTCAAACTGACGTTTCATCTGAGTGAAAACAGTGCTCTGGCTGATGAAGAAGAGGATTTGTCCAAAGTATTCTCTATGAAGAACTGATTGATTATATAAAGATTTGACCTTGGCACTGGTTCCAATCAAATGCATCATATGGGAGGAGTTTTTCAAAGGAAAGAATATTGCTACATGAAATGGTAAGAACAGAAGGAGAGGAACTGCTGACAAATTCAAATGTTCTAAGTTTCCATCAATGTGTATGTGTAAAGAACTTCAACGTATACAAGTTCTCCCACAAATTAATTTTAGGATACTAGTAAATTAAATTTAGAACAAATTATACTACTTTGCTTTACGAAGAAAATAATTACAATATTAAAAACAGAATCACAGAGAGAGAGAGATCCAAGATGGCTGATCACTAGCAGCTCGGGATTGTAGTTCCCACTGAAAGAGCAGAGAACGAGAGGACGCCACACTTTCAGATCAATTTTTGTTGCTCATGCACCAGGAGATTCCCAGCGGAGGAGCCCCACGTGTCGCCAGCGCGACTCTTGAGGCCAGTGAGGCTGTTTTGCCGCTGCCTTGGAGTGGCGGTTCTTGGTGCAGAGTCAGAAAAGCACCATCAATCTTAACGCCACTGTTTTGGCTGGCGCAGTGGGTTGCTCAGATTCTAGCGCCGGGAATCAACAAGTTGGACGTCCATTCAGAAACCCAACTATAAAGACGGTAATTATAAAGATCACAGATGGATAAATTTATAACAAAGGGAAGAAACCAGCCTAAAAAGGCTGAGAATACCCAAAATCAGAACGCCTCTCCCTCTACAGGGGATCACAGTTCCTCATCAGCAACAGAAAAAGGCCTGATGGAGAAAGACTGTGTTCCATTAGCAGAAGCAGGCTTTAAAAAGTGGATGATAAGAAACTTCTGGGAATTAAAAGAACTTGTTCTAACCCAATGCAAAGAAACTAAGAACTTTGAAAAAAGGTTTGACGAAATGTTAACAATAACATACAATTCAGAGAGGAATATAAGTGAATTAAAGGAGCTGAAAAATACAACACGAGAACTTCGCGAACTATGCACAAGTTTTAACAGCCGAATTGATCAAGCAGAAGAAAAGATATCAGAGGTTGAAGACCAACTTAATGAAATAAAACGAGAAGACAAGATTAGAGAAAAAAGGATAAAAAAGAACGAGCAAGAAATATGGGACTATGTGAAAGGACCTAATCTACATTTGATAGGTGTGCCTGGATGTGACGAAGAGAATCAATCCAAGCTGGAAAATACGCTGCACGATATTATTCAGGAAAACTTTCCCAACCTAGCAAGGCAGGACAATATTCAACTCCAGGTAATGCAGAGAACACCACAGAGATATTCCTCAAGAAGACCAACCTCAAGGCACATGATTGCCAGATTCACCAGGGTTGAAATGAAGGAGAGAATACTGAGGGCAGCCAGAGAGAAGGGTCAGGTTACCCATAAAGGGAAGCCCATCAGACTCACAGCAGATCTCTCAGCAGAAACCCTACAAGACAGAAGAGAGTGGGGGCCAATATTCAACATCCTTAAAGAAAAGAACTTTCAACCCAGAATTTTACATCCAGCCAAACTAAGCTTCATAAGCGAAGGAAAAATAAAATCTTTTGTGAACAAGCAGGCACTCAGAGATTTCATCACCACCAGGCCTGCTTTACAAGAGCTTCTGAAAGGACCACTACAAATAGAAAGGAACAGCCAGTATCAGCCTTTCTAAAAAATACCAAAAAATAAAGAACATCAACATAATTAAGAACTTGCATCAACTAATGGGCAAAACAGCCAGCAAACATTAAATGACAGTATCAAACACACATATATTGTTATTAATTCTAAGTTTAAATCGACTGAATCCCCCAATCCAAGGTGACAGACAGGCAAAAAAAGCCAAGACCCATTGGTATGCTACATCCAGATCCATCTCACATGCAAGGATACACAAAGACTCAAAACAAAGGGATGGAGAAAGATTTGCCAAACAAATGGAGAGCAAAAATAAATAAATAGAAAGCAGGAGTTGCAATTTTTGCTGATAAAATAGACTTCAAAACAACAAAGATCAAAAGAAGCAAAGGATATTACATAAAGATAAAAGGATCAATGTAACAAGAAGAGCTAAAGATCCTAAATATATATGCACCCAATACAGAAATACCCAGATATATAAGACTTATAAAGAGACTTGGACTCCCACACAATAATAGTGGGAGACTTCAACATCGATATTGGACAGATCAATGAGACAGAAAGTTAACATCGATATTCAGGACTTGAACTCAGATACGGAACAAGTAGACTTGATTGACATTCATGGAATTCTCCACTTTAAATACACGAAGTATACACTCTTATCAGTACTACATCACACATATTTACAGGTTTAAATGAAATATTGGTTGGCTGCTTATTTGTTTTCTTCCTTCATTTTTTTTTAATGTCTCTATTATTAAACACAATTACAGGCATATCCATTTTTAGACTGCATTCTAGCCCGGGCAATAAAGCAACACCCCTGTTCTCTCTCCCTCTTCCTCTTCCTCTTTCTTCCTTTCCTTTATTCTTTTTCTTTTTTTCTTTAATTCTTTTTCTTTCTTTCTCTCTTTCTGCCTCTAAAAAAAAAATAAAACACAGAACTGGCCAGGCACGGTGGCTCACGCCTGTAATCCTAGCCCTTTCGGAGGCCAAGGTGGGCGGATCACCTGAGGTCAGGAGTTCGAGACCAGCCTGCCCAACATGGCTAAAACCTGTCTCTACTAAACAAACAAAAAATTAGCCACGCATGGTGGCGGGCACTTGTAATCCAGCTACTCTGTGGGCTGAGGCAGGAGAATTACTTGAACCCAGGAGGCAAACCTTGCAGTGAGCCGAGATCACGCCACTGTACTCCAGCCTGGGTGACAAGAGCAAAACTCCATCTCAAAAAAACAAAAACAAAAAACTACAAAGAATTTAGTTTTTCTAAGTTTTATAAGCAAA